CATGTACTCCAGGCAGACTCCAACTAAACTCTGGGAGGCAAGTGTCCTCAGGGACTTGGCGGGCCTTCCAGAAGACAAAGTTGAGTGGCTGAAGATAGGGATGGGGGCGGGGGAAACGGAGATGAAGCCCAAAGATGGAGCGGAGCTCAGCTCCGGGTTCTGGGTCCTTGTGGGGTCTCCAGGGCGGGGCGCAAGGGGCTGACGCTGAAGTCGATCCTCTCTGAGGACGCCCCGTCAGCGTCTGGAGGAAAGGGTGGCTGACAGGCGGGGAGACCTACAGGGGCCCGGGCAGTGCTGGAGCTGTGCTCCGGCCTTCGCGGTGCTGGAGACGCGTGGCAGAGGCAGAGTGCGAGGGGCCTCCCGCAGGTCCCGGGAGAGGTGGGCGTTGCCTCGCCGGGTTTGGGTCAGGCAGCGCCCTAGTCCGCGGGACCGGTAGTGCAGGGACCCCGCGTCCCAGAGGGGCGGCTTCCCGGGACAACCCCCTTCCCGCACCAGGCTGGCCGTGGGTCTGGACATCCTACTGCCTTGGAGGGGTGGGTGCAGGCCCCAGACTCACCGCCTGGCTTCGGCCAAGGCCTCAGCTGCCGCCGCCAGCGCCGGTACCGCCGCTTCAGGCCCCCAGCCCCACCACCCGCCTTCCCCTCTGTCCTCTATGCCGGGCGGGAAGGAGGGCGGGCTCCTAGCCCTAAGGGCCAATTGACTGGCGTAAGAAGCAGATGGACTGTCATACTGACCAATAATAATGAAGGAGAAGTGAGGCTTCGGGACCCGGCTTCTCTGGGGGCGGGGACTATTCAAATAGACAAACCAGGCGGCCAGTGGCAGGCGAAAGGAGGCTCAGGCCCGCTCAGGAGAACCAATCGGTGGTGAGTTGACTTCAGTCACTTCCACGCACACATCCGGTGCGCCGCTACTATAATTCCCCTCCGCTTTAGGGCTGTGGCCGCGCTGAGTCCGCTGTCTGGGTACCACTCAAAAGCAGTGAGAGGCAGTGGGCGGAGGTTCGCGACCCGCCCAGTTTAATTCTAACTTTGGAGCGGGAGCGAGGCTGGCGCCGTGTGATTACTGGAGTAAAAGCTTTTCAAGCTAGCACTACCGAGGAGCCCGTGATTTCTCTGTTGCTAAAACTAAGATGCATTTGAAAGCGCGTAAAGTTACCTTTTCTCAATTTGCCAAAATTACCTCGTTTACAAGATCATTCACGAGAAACCATAGCCAAAGCAACATCGTTAGAAACATCCTGTAAAAAATCAATAGCAAAAAAGGCAATTTGACTACATCTCCAATACAGTGTTCATTATAAAAACATTGAAAATTCCGAACTATCTTATAATGGAAGTCTGATCACATAAAATATGACACGTTCAAAACAAGGGAGCTATATGTAGTCATTGATAATATAGATGAATATTTGTTTTTTAAAAAGCGTTCACAATTTGTTTTTAAAAATTACACAATAATGTAAGTATGACTAAAAAAAATTTCTTACGTGTCTATAGTCACAATGGTGAGTTATGCAATTAAAATGTAATGGGATTTGGGAAAGATGTATTTTTTCTTTTATACATTACCTTTAATTAGCTATGTAATAAAAGTAAGACTTTATGGAAGGAATGTTAAGTTTTCAGAAGTCTTAAACTACCAAGTTAAGTTTAGTAATATTCCATAGCTAGAAAAATACTTTGGAAGATGCTTACAAATACATATTGACTGTTAACTATTTTTCATTGCATTGGTTTTCATATGAAACCATTGTCCTCCGAGTTTCACATTTTTCAGTTGTGTTCAACATTTCTATCTTAAATCATCAAACCTTTTTGAATATATGTTCACTGGTCAAATCTCAAAATATATAAAAATTCTATATATTGATGTAATGCTTATTCTGTTGATTTTTACATATTCCTTAAATTTATTTATGCAGGTACAATAAAATATAAATGTATTATTTCCCCTCTCTTGTTTGGCATTCTTATAACTATACAGTATTCCATCACACAAAAGTAACACATTTTATTTTTCTAATCCTGACACTTGCATTATTTCCCAGTTCTTGTTATGACCAACGATGCTGCAATTGATACCTCTGTACATATATGATTTTATTCCTCCACAGCTGTACCTAAGTAAAAACACAGAAATGGGGTTATGGAGTCAGAGGGTAAATTCATGAATAGTTTGATAGTTAATGGCAAAGTGATCTCTATAAGGGAGGTACCAATTTTTGACCCCCCCCAGTTGAGATAACGACCTGTTGTGTTTTTTTTTTAACTGTCACAGGTTGTTTTATAGCAACAGTAATCAGTGCAGTTGTGAGGTTACCCTCACTTTCTTACCTATTGTGTTACAATGATAGGTAATATTTATTGAGCTCAAATACAGGCATTTTCATGAACATTATTGAGTGGTAATTGAATACAGCTTGGTGTCAAACTAATTCAATCTGAAAGTCAGGTCCAGCACTATCTATATGAACAAGTATTTTATCTTCATGTATTTTTTAGTTGTAAAACTGGAGGATTATAATGGATTTACCTCTGTAGGCAGTACAATGAAGTTAAATGCTAGTACATGTAAATTGCTTGAAGCACCGTATATCCGTGTGAACAGTTAATTACTGCTGTTTCCATTGTTCCCGGACATTTCTACAAGACAGATCATACGGTTCCCATTTTATACATGAGTAAATTGATGTACAGGTTATTGGGTCAAGGAGTTGGTGGGTGATGGAGTCAGGTTCTTAATACAGCTGCTTCTTTCTTTTGTCTGATTTAGCTCCATGGGCCACTTTGGTTTGGCGAGTTGCAAGGATGTGCTAGTTGGTAGAGTTGTAAGTGTACCTGGTAAGGGAGGTGATAAGGCTGCCTAAATGGCTATGTCCTGTGGAACTTAATACTGTCTTGAAATTCTTAATGATTTTAGAACAAGGGGCCCAATTTTCTATTTTGTATTGGGCATCCCAATTCTGCAGGCAGCCCTGTGGACAAATACACATGCATTGTCATTTTCATTGATATAAAAGAAACATAGCACATGACTTGTAATAAATTACAGTAATAAAGCACACCATTCTTTCTAGTAAATTCCACATAGCCGATTGACTCTCAGTATGCTTTCTTTGATATTGTATAGCCTCCCTGAGTTGCCAGTTGTTCTGATATGAATGTTAGCCTATATTTCCTTTTATGTTAATGTATAGGAGGAAAAAGAAACTGTCAAGAGATATGATTGAACTTCACCAGTTTGTTAATGAATGAGCAGCTTCTTTGTTGATTTAAATAATACTTTTCTAGAATTCGCTATTCTTCGAGTACTAGAAGAATATTTTCTTGATATTTTCCCTGCTATTCACAACATAATGGCTACAGAGTTGACTCACTTTTGTTTTTAATCTGCATTATTAACCTTTACCCGTTGCATCCTTAAATCTTGATGATCATCAAAACAACCATCAAGTATTTTGCTGGTTTGCCTCACAGGACTTTTACTCCCATGGTGGTAAATTTCATGCTACCAAAAGTTGTCACTGAATGAAAAGTTGGGAAGTGAGCAATGGTACATCAATGCAGATGCAATAAACTTGAAGTCTGAAGAGCATTACAGTCAAACGCAGCAAGATAACTAGGAAGTAGAGTTTTGAGAATTTTTTACCTTTGTTTTTAATCAATCTAACTGTAAGTTTGGATACATTAATTTTTACTAGTGCCCAATGATCATTCACAAAATTCCAAAAAATTTAATAGGTAATCTTGGATATCTGTAGAAGGAGCTACAGATAGAGACTAGAAGCTCCCATAAGGCAGACAGTGGAGACACCTAGCTGGCCACCTGGACTTATAGGCATAAATCAGCAAACTAGAGAATGGATAAAAAATCAAGAAGGGCAATATATGACATGTGGGAGTTGCACACACACACACACACACACACGGTGCGGGAATGATTGCCGTGGTGATGCCGTGGTAATGACTTAGCTATCACTTTCCATTTCAGATCTTCAATTTTGCCATTTAAAAAGGGGGGGGGGCGATGACTATGGTTTTCTTACCACTCTCAGCGCACTCTAGCTTTTGTCCATTTTGTTTGCGACTGAGCACAATAGTAAGAGTTCAGTAATTGTGTGTTGCATACAGTAGGCGCCCAATAAATGCTTGTTGCATGAAAAGAACGTGAACGCGTTTCCTATGTCGGTGAGCAGGAGCTAGTCAGAGAGCAACACTTGAGAGGTTCACCAGGCAGCTTTCGGAAAAACCGGGGGTGGGGAGATTGAGGAGGGCGGTGGCTGCGGGGCGTGGGGCGTGAGCC